TCATATTTTAATAAGAATCATGATCTTCGAAATTTGGTGCATACGAAAGTTTCACGTGTTCTACTTTTCTTATGCATTTAATTTACTGAACAGTTATTATTGAATTCTTTGGAATAAGTCCTTATCATATTAAGGTTCCCAAACATGTTTAATTGTCATAAAGTACTGTCACGACTGAGATTGCAAAAGCAAAAGGAAAATATTTTAATCTTAATTTCGTAACACCCGAGTGGAGGTATCCTGTAGAAGGCCTATACGTTCTGACACCGTGGGACAAATCGAATTCAAATTTGCTTGCTTGGAATATTTGCCCACATAAAATCTTAATAATTGCAGTCTCTTTACTCTTTCTGTCAAATTTGGTTTATGCTGTGATGAAAAGGAATAGATAGGTACTGTGGTTATTAGGTTCAATTTATTTTTGTGAATAAGAAGGTAGATCATTTGAACACTTTTATTGCATACTTTCTCCAGTATTTGAAATTGTTCCCTTTGGAGTAGATATATACTCTTGAGCCGGGTTCAAGTGCACAGGCAATTAAAGATTTAAGTTGGCGCATAGTAGCTAGTACTATGACCCTAGAGCTGGTGCTTTCCTCGCTTAACGAATAAGTATCGCAACACAGCGAGAAAGGTACACTGCCACAGGGACCAAACTTAAATTTGTTTTAATTTTCTATTTATGAATTTTTAATTTTAATTATTATTAGTATGTAGGTTAAGTATATTGTGAATACTGTATATTTGTGTGTTGGCAATAAATCGAATCCCCTTTCTCCAGTTAGATATGGAATCTCTTCCTCTGCGTTGTTAAGTTACGTACTACAACTAAATGTATTTTATGTTTTACATCTATTACAAAAACTTACATCTCATGGAAACCATTTAGAAAAGTCTTATTTTTGTAAATAACGTGGTCACCAAAATAAAGGGTACCCTCGACACCACCCAGTACGTTTTGACTCCGAAATTCGGCGGTGGTCGCAATTAGGCGCGATAAATACCCCCGACATTCGATCCAGCGGGTTTCATTCGATTAATCGGTTGAATCGTATAAGGAATCCGATTTAACGGGTCGTTTCTTTTGACTGTTTATGTGAAGTTCGATGGACAGTGATATTGGGAGGTGTCACTTTATTATTATTAAATCTTTATTAATTAATACATACAATCATTGTTTCGTGTACATTTCTTAGTATAAGACAGACATATATCGACATAACATTTACTACTAACGAAACACACGAAATAATAATAATTAAAAGAAAAATTACAAAAAAATATGGAAAAGACAAAAGGATTAAGATACATTTTAAGTGACTAATATGTGTGTTGTGGTTGTAACTGGCCCTGGCTCAGCATTATGCTGTGGAGCAGACGTGTTCCACAGCGCTGGTCATTTTGCCAGAGACCACAACAGTTAGTTTGTAACTTAGTTGGGTGGGTTAGTATAAGTGTTAGTTTTGTTTTTGTTCTAATATTTGTATGTAGCCCCTTCCATATTTTTCAATTTTTCTTTATATTGAGAAACTCATCCATTTTATCCCTGCTAGTTCTATTACGTCATCTGTCCATCTTTTATTTTGTCCTATACATCTCTTTCCAGTGTCCATCTTTTATCCCGAGCTCTAGATATATGACCTGCCAATTTCCTAGTTATTATCATCGACCTTTAAATAGAAAAGCTTCTGATCTCATAGTCATATCTTCATAATCTTCTTAATCACTCTAAACCGTTTAAGTCTTAGAGTGTACAAGTGCATCTGCAAGTGTTTTGTTACGAACGTTTCTTATTTTGTTTATTCAACTTTATTAAGATGCTTCTTTCCATTCCATGCTGGCAAGACTTTTCTTGTTGTTTTCTTGCTGAACCTGAGGTGAATGTGAGGCTTTATTCTCTTACGGTTGAGAACTGATTTCTAAATTCCTTAAGCATATTCAATATGAAGATTAAAATCTTGTGGCGAGCCCGTATAGTAATTGATCTGATATTATTCGATGTTTGAGATGTTATAGCCCGCATGAATGAAAGCTTGGCCACATATCAATTATTTTGACACCAAGTATTATGTCGTTACAATAAGTGTTAAATTTTTATGTCTCATTCAATTGTGTTCTAATTTAAGAACTCATTTTAACTGTCTTTCGAATACTTCGCGAATATAACGGAATAAACAGTAGGTACTTGTCCGGAGCTGGATATATTCGGTAGTTGGCTGATTAATTTTATAAAAGCATTGTTAAGTGCCTATCTCATACCCTGCTGTTTGCTTAGCAATAAAAAAAGTGAGTATAGTATTTTAATTTTTTGTAACATTTATGTTTATCATTATTGTCTTATAATTTGTATATATTATGTTATTTGTTTTTATATAAATGTAACGAAGTGTAAATAAATAAATGCGGCTACATTGTTAAGACCTCGCTCTGCGTGCCACAACAGAGCGTTTTAAGCATCTTCTGCTGCACACTAACTGTGGCGCCAGCTGGATAGGTATTTCCGTACCAATACGACTTGGATGAATATCATTCGCCCAAGGGCCCTGTTAGCAGACGTGTTTCTCATTTAAAAAAATCATAACAGGTCCGTATGGTGAGACCATAGCTCTACTTGTTGTAATGTATCATCGAGCTTGTAAAAGGTTAAATTCTTCTAACGACATTGCTCCACCTTTTCTTAATCTACCGTACCAGTTGCACCGTTGTCAGTAAACGAATGGGCTTTCGGAACAATGACAAGTCCCTCACAAGGCGACAAAAGTAATATTAATAGAAAACAATAGGAACAATGGTGCTCTCTGTCAATTAGGCCATCATTACAATGGTATAAACGTTGGATGACTATCCAAATGATAGTAACATTTTGCTAGATATAAAATTGTTTTCGTTCCTAAACAATGATGTTGCATTTCGCTGTCATAAATCATTCGGCAGACATTGGCGCCATTTTGTTTGTCGCTAAAGTTGCTTCTAGGTCGTATACGTAAAGTGATATTCGATCGGTAGATCTAAAACAGCGTGATAAATATCGTAAAACCGATTTCAATAACAACTGGTGATGAAATTGAATACATCTGAGTCATGTGAACGTCTCAGTATTAGAAATTTTAATATATTTTTATACAATTAATAATAAAATAATACTTTTAGGTCTGGGCCTCAGATTTCTGAATCTGTTTTATGATTATTTGTCAATTTAATAGGGAAGTATGTGATGAGCCACCTGTGCCTGACACACGCCGTCGACTTTTTGGGCCGGTTTCCTCACGATGTATTAATTCACCATCAAAGCGAATGTTAAATGTGAACATAGAAAGAAAGCCCATTGGTGCACGCGATCGAACCTACGACCTCAGGGATGAGAGTCGCAAGCTGAAGCCACTAGGCCAACATAGTTTTTTTTATACATTCGTTTAGAAATTGAATCTGTTAGGCGTCTCGCTTCATCGCGGCGTAAATACAATTTGACAGAAAGAGATGAACAAGTTACAAGAATGCTATTAGACTAATTTAGTTTTTATGGATTTTTGTCACTACACATGTTTTTTATAAAACAGGGGGCTCACGGGCAGGGGCTCACCTGATGTTAAGTGATGCCCATGAACCCGTTGCTAGGTTTGCAAGTGCATTGCTTTATGGATCTGTTAACTCGAAAATGACTATATAAATTGTATAAAAACAAATTATGCTAATTCATTATTTATAAACACACACTAATAAACAAAAAATATTTAAATTCTTGAAAACCCTATTCATACAACTCCTATTCACTGAATTCTGTCACTCCTTTATTGTGCAAAGTATCTGTGTTTTAGAACTCTTTACCTCTTGATATCAGAATTATTTATGCAGTTCTTGTACTTTACCCTATCTAGGTGTTTCTTTCTATTGTTCCATACTAAGGTTGCCTGGAAGAAATCGCTTGTTAGCGATTTGGCCGCCCGTTGTCTAATAACTTATGTAACCTGCTTTTTTGTATGTATGTTTTTGTATAGAAGATAACTAAGTATAATAAACATTTAAAAAAAAAAATTGTAGGGTAAAATACAAAAACAATTTGGTAACTTAGAAAACTGGATTGGCTGATACGATCTTTTGTCGTTAATATGCACTGATTGAAATGTTAAATGGGTGAATATATGCTATTTGAATTCCAATGGTTCATAGACAAAATTTATGTTAAACTTATTATATTATTGTTTCTGTATGCTTAAACAATAAAGAATATGGTCTTTTATTTGGCCCACATAGTGTTTTCACGATAATTGTTTAAGTTAAGGCATTAATAGTCTAAAATAGTTATAAATGTATACTCCTCTGGCCTCCCCCATTACAAGATTATAGTGATTTTATAGCCAGATACTTTAAATACGTATGCCATTATGTTTTTTTAAAATATAATCATATGCTTTTATAAACATTAAAATATATTTTATTAAAATACACTGTAAAAATATTTATTAATATACCGAAAAATTAACTTATTTCCATGTCATGCTACAATAATGTCACTTCATCTGGCGAAACTCAAAGAAGTAAAATTTTACTTAAAACCGCATAGGTATGTTTTGGTTCTTGAACTATGCGCGTACAACGGTGTGAAGTTAGAAGCAAGCTAACGACGTTGAGCAAAACTACATTAATTTTGCGTCAGTTTGCGATTTGCTGTAGGAAAGCGTGTTTGTGCCAGTCGTCTGAGTATTTACTCTGGTATGTCTATGTTTTTGTATTTTATCGTTACGAAATTGTATATTTGCACAATGCAATGTTATTGTGTGTAGATGTCATGTAATACGTTAAACTGTTGTCAGAAAAGCGAGTGATGTTGTTTTTGTAGGTTATGTGCGGTTTTGTCACTTCTCTGGCGTCACTTCTCTGGCAGATTTCATGCCAGAGGAAATACATAAGCGCCAGAGAAGTGACGATTTTTTTTTCGTTATTATTTAATGTTTTTAGGCTTCATTTCATTTGTTCTAGATACTCGAATATAATCAGACATCATGGCGAATGTTAAAAAGAAACAAACTAGGGAAGAGAGGCTAGAAAAAAAACGTCAAACTGAAAAATTACGCTACCAAAGAATAAAAAACGATCCGGTTAAAAATGCCAAATTAAAAGAAAAAGAAAGGCAGCAATATAAAAAGAAAAAAGAAAAGGGACAAATTAAGAGCATAAATGATATGACTGAAAGGGAACAAAGGGCTGTTAGAAAAATATGGAGAGAGAAGACTAAAAAGCATAGAGATCGCGTAAAGATACAATCTACCAGAAACAATCCACTAACACCACCTGCGTCTGATAATGAAGACCAACCTCCACTTCCACAAAACAATATCGCTCTGGCTGCTAAAAGGCGATCAGAAATTCAGCGGAAACTACGAAATCAACTTATAAAAAAACAAAAATATGAAATTAAACAGTTGCGTCAAAAGGTACGCGACTGTCAAAAGAAACTACGGCGCATCGGAAAACAGAAAATGACTCCAAACTCAAAAGTGGCCGATCTTTTACAGAATAATAGTAAAGAGAATATAGAAGAGGTGAAGAAAAAATTATTATTTAGTGAGGTGATCCAAAATCAACTCAAAGAAAATATAAATTTGACAACGAATGATAATGAAAAGAAGATATTTAAAAAAGTATTAAGTGGCAAAGTAGTCAAGAAGTATAAAGTGTTGAACCAAATTAATATGAAACCTATAAGACAGTCATCTACTGCAAATAAAAGTTTGTTAGATATGACACGGAAGACAAGAAACGATAAAACGAATTCGAAGTTAGAGAAAAAAGTCGCAGAGTTTTTTGAAGAAGATTGCAATAGCAGATTATGCCCAGGTAAAAAAGATAGCATTACAAAAGGTAAAATAAAAAGACAGAAGAGATTATTACAGGACACCATGAAAAATCTACACACCAAGTTTATAAATACAAAAAATATAAAGTTGAGTTACACACTGTTTTGCCGCCTACGACCTTTTTGGGTTGTAACCCCAAACATCCACCAAAGAGAAACTTGTTTGTGTGTAACTCATGCAAACATGGAGCTAACCTTGGCTTCCCTAAAACAGGCAGACATCATAGATTTTCCAAACTATCAGAGCATGCTTAATTATTTATGTTGCGACCGATACAATGAAAAATGTCTTATGCGAGAATGTCTTAACTGCAATTCACGTTCCATATGTTATCGTGAGTTCGACAATTCTGTTTTGATCAAATACTCTTCATGGCAATGTATTACAGAGGACATTTTAGATACTAAAACCATGAAAAAACGCAGGGTTCGAAAATATAAGAAAATAACGTTAAACTGTGCTCCAAAAGACATTGTGATGAAACTTGAAGAAAACCTTGATATTTTTTTAAAGCATGAAGCGAATATAGTGCATCAATATGAAACCATTAAAAGACTAAAAGATAACTTAACCGAAAAAGATGCTGTGATTCATATGGACTTTTCCGAAAATTATAATACAAAATATTCTTCAGAAGTTCAATCATTCCATTTTGGTGGGTCACGTACGCAAATAAGTTTGCATACTGTGGTCTTATATACCAAGGGAGAAACAAAATGTTTCGCCACAATGTCAGAAAACCTAAACCATAATGTACCTGTAATCTGGGCTCATCTAAAACCTGTCATGAAACTCCTTCCGTCCTCGGTAGAAAACGTTCATTTCTTAAGCGATGGTCCTGTTACTCAGTACCGTAACAAAGATATGTTTTTTTACTTACTTTGTAAATTGACTGAAACCTATCCGAATATTTATGATTTTACCTGGAACTATCATGAAGCCGGTCATGGTAAAGGAGCTCCAGATGGTATCGGAGGGACATGTAAACGAACCGCTGACAAAATTGTAGCTTTGGGAACTGACATTGCTACGATTGACGACTTTGCTACGGAATTAAATAAATCTTGTCCCGGCATTAAAATTTTTGTGATACCCGAAGAAGAAATTGATTTTCAAAAGAAGATAATGGAAGATAATCGACCAAACATCAAACCTTTTACTGGTACACTAAAAGTACATCAAGTACGAGGAAACTATCTCCGCAATACGTTATACATGAAGAGCCTCAGCTGCTTTTGTAGCAATTTTTGTCCTCACTTTCACTTAGGCGACATTAAATACCCCCAAAATAAAAAAAACAAATTGGATGTTGATGCAGTATACACCGATTCTGAGGAAGATGTGCAAAACAAAATAGTTGCACAAACATCTACTCATGTGATTAATACTATAGACAATGCAGACACTGCTATGACTGTCAAGAACGGAGATTTTGTACTTGTGGAATATAATATTAATAATAAAAAATATAGATATGCTGGCGTATGTTCGTCAGATTTTGATGAAGAAGAAGGATGAATGAAGATGCTACGTTTTTTAAAGATCTCCAATGAAGATGCTACGTTTTTTAGAATAAATGACAATGACGTGTCTGATGTTAAATGGGAACAGATCTTGACCATATTACCAGTGCCAAATATACGTATGAAGGGTAACAGAGTATTCTACAAGTTTCCAAAGCCAGTTGATGTGTTTGAAAAGTAAATTGTTCATTGTTAATATTGAAGTAGAAAATATTTAGTTCCGTAGAAATTATTGATTCTGTTCTTTGCAAGAAATGGAAGTTTTCATTACTTTGCACTGATAATTTTTAAGTTTGTTTAAATAATTTTGAGACTGACAGATGTATCATTAGATAGTACTATTGTTTTGTTTTAAGAACGAAGTTCATATTTTTGCTATAATTTTATTCAGATTAAAGCGCCTTAAACGTGGCTTTTAAGTTTATGAACGTTTTATAATTAAAAACTACCAAAAAATATGTACTGTGACTTTCATCTCAGATGAGACTGATAAGCAGAAATGATTAATTCTGTTATTTGATACGGGTAATTGAAATTTAAGCCTTAACAAACCATTAATATTAAAAATAAGGTTGCATTTAGAAACTGTAAAGACTGAATGTATCTTGTATATTAAAAAATATTCAAATACTATAATTTATATATGTTTAATTTAATATTAGTCCCCTTTCTTAGCTAATAATCAATGGCCTGTCACTACCCTGCCTTAATTTGTCACTACTCTGCCAATAGTGTCACTCCCCTGGTAACACATTTTCCTCTGGTGCTTATAAAATTAAAAAAAATGGAAAAATCTTCTGGCCCTCATCATTACAAATTACAAAATAATGTCAAATAGAGGAATAATCAATATTGAATGGAACAGATTAAATTTCCTTCAGGGACACAAAAAAATCAAATAGCGTATATTCACCCAAATATCAAATAAAATTTCGTCAGTTAATATCGCAGCGTGGGGCATGTTTGCAAATAATTGCAACTGTCGTAAATACTAACTTTTATTACTAAACCTGTCGCGCATAAAATATGTCTTGTCGCATTGTATCAGCAGGTTATCGCTGATATATTGGAGCCGCGAGGCGTCTAATTAGGTGCAGAAAGAAAAATCATCAGAAATGTATCTTACACAGCTCATGCGCAAATGTAATTGTATATTTACATATTTGCGGGAACCGATTTTCTTTACTGTGACTAACCAAGGTCCTTATTGTAACAAATTATACCTTTAAAATTTGAACATAAGGAATGCAATAAAGATTTGACTTTGACTATACAAACATTTTAAGTAATGATTTTTGACACTAATAATGTCTACTATACTGGAAATGTCACATGGTCTTACTAACTTGTACACTGAAGTATTTCCGAATCAATTCCATCCTTCAAGAGCGTACCAGTTCTTAAAAGGCCGCCAATGCACTTGCGAGCCTTTTGGCAACGTGCCCATGCGTGGCGGTATCACTTAACATCAGGTGTGCCTCCTGGCCTGGCCCCGTGTTCAATTAAAAAAAAACTAGTATTGTAGGGCGGTGTTACAGTCCTGGTTAAGTGTTGTTTTCTCCATGCCACTTCAATAAATTATTTTGCATAAAATACTTATATTTCAGAAATTCTCTTTACGAAATTTTAATTTTAAAAATAGAATTTCTATTAGGTAATTCCCTTCTCACTCCCTCTCAATCGCTCTCTCCCTTTTCTTCGACAAAAACGCTGCACATCTTCGTGACGCTAATATTATTATTATTGCCTTTCATCCGTAAAAATTTTACTCTCATGCGCCTAAAGAAGTTTCACTTCAAAAAAACATGAAATATATCTGAGATTTCATTTTAATTGGTCTATCATTTTGTGTAAATATTCAGTAGTTTATCTCCATAAAAACTGCATAGAAAATTGTTTATGTAAGAACTGTAGTCGGAATTAAATCAACCTCATTTATATCGATAATTTGTGTAAATGGCTGTTGATTTATTGATTAATTGCAACAATAATAATGATAATGAAGTCGATTAATGATTGCGAATCGGTTTTATTGCGCCGCTATTTAATTAATCGATATTGCCAATCGATTATTATTATAGGCGCCTATTTGTATGTTATTTGATGAATGATGTTGAATAATTTATTGATTACTATTTGTTTTATATGTTTAACTTCATGTTTACAGTAAAATAGCGCTACAACCATAAGTCTTGGGTTCGGATTTCTATCAGTTTCGAGACCGTTTTTTTCTAATAGGCAAATAGGTAGCCTTCTGTGCCTGACACGCGCTTTAATTGTGTTGGGTCGGTTACTGTATGACGAGTGTTAAATGCGCTCATAGAAAGTCCATTGGTGCACAGCCGGGTTCGAATTTACTACCTCCATGATAAGAGTCGCAAGTTCAAACCACTGAACACTGTTCTTTTTTATTTACTAGCAACCCCGGCCACGCGTTGCTGTGGCTAAGGTTTTTGTTATATTACATAGTAGTAAACTATTCATGGGAAACAGTAGGAGAACACCAGGCATGGGGACCACCATGCTTTTTGGTGGTTACGCTATTAAATTGTAGCTTATGAAACGTTGGTCAATACAGCGCCATCTGTTAAAATTGTGACTGTCAAATATTACACAAATAATTTGCAATAAAATAATATTCCGGGTTTAAATTAAGATGTAAGTTAGCCTATCTATTAAGGTAGATCAAACGGCACACGGTGTGGAAATTTGATTGAAATCGGTTCGGTAGTTTTGGAGTCCATAGCGGACAAACAACGTGACGCATAATTTATATAAATTAGGGTTTAGTAAATTTTGTAAAACAGAACTAATTTAGTTTATATGATTATTTTACTACATAGCTTTTATACTTAATGCAGACGACGTCGCAGGTATCGGGTAGACTCATCTAAAGAAATTATCGTAAATTGAAGAAATTGAAAAATCGCCACTTCGCGTGTTGACTTCAACCGTTAATGGGTATTAAAAATAAATTATTGACGGTAATTTCGACTGCCGTTGATTAAAAATTTCTACATATTGAAGAGAAAACTTATAAAAGCGTAATTATAAAGCTCCCGCCCGCTGTTTCGCCCGCGTATTTTTGCAACCTTTCCAATAATAATGGTTATATTTCATTAAATTTACATAAAATCTTTTTTTCTTGTTCGGAAATCAATTTACGCCGGGTCAACTTCTTAAAGTGACGCAGGGAGTGTAGGGGTCGGTCTGTGATGTGTTATGGCCCCCCATAATAACTTTACCATAATCTTTCTCAGTAATTTGGTAATGGTGAACGTACAAAAATATGTTCGTTAGTTCATGTGTTTATACTGGTCATACAAACAGACGTGGCCATACATACATACTAATGGCGCTACAAACTTTTAGGTTTAGGCCTCAGATTTCTGTATCTGTTCCGTGATAATTTCTTAAAGGCAAGTACGAGTAGGTTATCAACCTTCTGTGCCTGAAACACACCGTCACGTTTTGGGTCTAAGGTCCTCACAATGTTTTCTTTCGCCGTACAAACGTATGCTAAATACGCACATAGACAGAAAGTCCATTGCCAGGGATCGAACCTACGACCTCAGGCATGAGAGTCGCACGCTGAAACCATTCGCCACTCAGACGTGGCCACAGAACATCGACCGGTCTTTCATAGTGATACAATACAAGTAGATAATTAAAATCAGTCAGCGGTCACTATGTGTGGCTTAATCAGGTGATAATTACTGGAATTACTTATTAGGGAGTGGCCAATCCGAACTAATTATTCAGATAATTGGACCACAGTATAAGGTTTTCTATATGGATGAATAACAAAAGTTTTCATTGTAAATATTGCTCTGAAAGGAATTTTTTCGGAAGGAAAAAAGAAATTTTTAACTCGTGAACAATTTTTAGTATGTATAACGTTATTTATAACGACCACCGGCGAATTCTAATTGAAAATTAACCCTTATACGCCTCCTGGCGGGATTATTTACGCAATCCTTGCCCATCTTGTCAACACTACAATAAATTACTATTATTAAGCTGACATTTTAAATTTTGTTAAAATTGAAAATTTGACCAGAAAGACCCTGCGGTGATTGGAATGGGTTCCGGGATTTATGGGATCCGTTTTAGGGTGATTATAGTTGAAATGGCCAAATGAAATTTATTACCACGTTTGATGGCGTTTAAGATTTGCTACCGCGTGTGATATCTTTAGATGTCTGAACCTTTTATATCTAAGGGTCGATAATTATCAGGAAATGGGCAGTTCATATATCTAGAGCTCGTGTTAAAAGATGGGCACTAAGAACAAAATGGACTGCACCTACTGAAAAAAGATGTATCGACAAAAGAAAATATGCACAGATGACGTAATAGAACTAGTAGGAATACTGGATGAAAGATGCTCAAGACAAATAGAAATGGAAAAATATGGAGGAGGCTTTTACCCTAAAAGAGGCCATACAAATACTAGAACAATAACAAAACTAACATAACAAATACTCATATTAAGAAATGTAAACTAACCAATTGTTGTATGGATTCATTAATAAATATTGAATAATAATAATAAACTTTGCCTTGGGATTGTTCCTATTCAAAACGTGTTTATGCTCTGTTACTTCCAATTTGAGTCTATTGCACGATCCCAAAAACATCTAAACTCTATACAAACACGTCAGGTTCGGTATAGCTTTTAAAATTTACAGAAATGCAGAGTTAACTAGATTGTTAATACATTAACTGCTAACTGTAATTGCGTGTTGACATATGTATACTCAAATAAATTATTAAAAATATTTTGGAAATCAAGCATTATAATGTAGCATTCTAATGGTGATATACTTCTGGTAGTCTTTTCGTTTTGTAATATTAGTATAGATTATTCATAAGTGGTTATCGGTGCCAGCCTGTCCTTTAGCGTTAGCAACAGTAAAGGCAGCACGTCATCCCGTCCCATTCCTTGTATAGGTTAGTTTTATTGTAATGGCAAGTGTTGCAAATTAATAATAATAGCCTTTATTCAGATACATTTACATTTAAACAATTCCATTTTAATCCTCTTCTAGTGTATCTGTGTGCCCTTTTTTGGCTTAAGGCCTCCTTCAAATCCCGCCATTCCTCTCTGCACGGTCTATCCACCTTCTGAGTTGTCTCCCTCTTTTTCGTTTGCTGTAACTTGGGCACCACCACTTTTGTAGTTTTTTGCTCCACTTTTCTGTTTCTCTTGCCATGTACCAAGTGTTGCGAATTAAGAAACAAAAATCTATTGATAGGCACTAAGTCCACCTAGACTCACACTAATAAAGAACCTATAAGAAAACAGCGTATCTTAAAAGTGTGTTTGATCACAATACCGGAGTTGCTTATAAGAAAAAGGTTTATTAATTGTAAGTAATAGATTACGGAAACTCGATTGGGCCCTTCAGGTGGGCAGGTCGTTGACATCGGTGAGGTAGGGCTAGTTGATGATTGATCAGGTCTCTTATCAGTGGACTGTCGCCTACATGCGGCACTTTCAAAGCATTATTGTCTATTACCGGAGACACGTGCTAATGCACCCAAAATTGTAATTAAATATTACTGAGAGTGAATACGAATAATACACTTATTTGCCTCTTCACAATATTGCATTTTGCGGGTTTACAACTTCTTTGTGAGAGACTGGTGCCTATAATATGACTATAAAAGTCCTTTGGTCACCAGCTAAGTGAAGTTGGTAACTTAAATCTAGAATATGACTGGGTCTAGAAATAATATAAACTAAGTCTGGTTTTGAAGACAATGTTATTAAAGGCACTGCACATTCCTAGTAGTAAGTGTTAAGATAGAATCATGATGTGAAAATAAATAAATTCTTAAGCGCCAAGGCCATTTGTAACTCTTCTAATTAGAGTCCTGATATTTTTTTAAATAAACGCTAACACACTTGACAAAGACATTAGCCGTAGTCTGACAATTGACTTACAATTTGAAGTATTTTTATTTTGTTACAGATTGTACAAGCACACAACACAGATATAAAGGAGATGTAAGTACTATATATTATATAGAAACATTAAAATCTTTACAAATATATTATTCTCTCTCAAGACATGCGAGATTGCGCCTACTAGGCGAATTAAATATGCGATTGTGTGCCAACAGGTGCATTTTGGTTAACAATAATTGACTAATTAATCTTTTAATTGTATGAAGATTTATAATTAATTTGTCATTTCAGATGGGACATTAAAACGCTCCTATTACAACTTCCAAGATTAAGAGCCGTTATAGATTTGACGAATACAAATCGCTACTATGATCCTCAGGTAATTTTCCTTCTAGTGGAATTTAGGAAGCTCTGGACGGATACACTTTTACATCTATTATAAAAAAAATCAGTGGCCATACAAACTTTTTAGGTCTGGGCCTCAGATTTCTGTATCTGTTTCATGATAATTTGTCAATCTAATAGGCAAGTAGATAATCAGCCTACAGTGACACACGCCGTCGACTTTTTGGTTTCCTCACGATGTTTTACTTCACCGTTCGAACGAATGTTAAATGCACACAGAAAGAAAGTCTATTGGTGCCCAACCGGGGATCGAACCTACGACCTCAGGGTCATCCCTGTCGTAGTGTCGTAGAGTCGTGCGCTTGAGCCTCAGGCCAACGGTGCTGATATTATAATTTTTATTAAAGGTCAGGATCAAGCCACAGTCCCGAAACTCCATGGTATAGAATTTTTGTGCGTTTTTTAAATATTTTTCTTTATAGGGCATACACCATTGGCGTATAGGATAGACGCTTTGTTTCGCTTCTAATGAATGTTATAAGCCGCTGCTTTCCGAGTCCGCAATATATCGTGTACAATAGAAATGATTTTTGCCAACGTAATAAACTAAGCCAGACTTAGGAATAACGTAATAGTAAAATGTAAGCACATATTGTCTGGTAGTAATATTTAACGACAATTATGCACAGTTTTAATGGTTGTTTTATAGTCTTTTGTTTGTAGAGTCATTCGTTAATTTTTAATTTATTTTCTATTAGCCTCAGTTATTGAAATAGAAGTATCTTCAGTTGCTAGCGTGTGTAAGACAAATTCTCAGTGCAGATTTACGACTTAGGTTTTCTAAAGGATATAATTTTCTCTATGTGGAAGTAAATTTTAGTGTTAGATGTTTTAAAGTTCATGCCACTATGGCAAATATTCCTCACAACTTTGTATCGAACAGGGCTAGTTGCTTTGTATTGTGTATTTAAGATATTGGGGTTTCAAATCAAATCAGTAATTCTAATTAAAGTTATATAAAAAGAGATGTTAGCTACAAAAATTCATCACGAATTTGATTAAAAATAACCATAAAATATTGTGTATATTATAACCCTAAGTTCACTTTGACATATGTCTAATTATGACAGCTTATGTGTCGTCATTTGTTTAAAAAAAACAAAATATTTATTTTAAACAAAAATTTATGTAATAATGCCGTTAAACTCTGTGTCAGTCTTTCTAATCGCCAAGTGTTATTATTACAAATTCTTTGTAAGGAGCAAACATTGCTCCGTGCTCCTCATGAGATCTTGAAGCAATTTTTAATAATAAAAAATAAACTTAAATCAAGATTCGTATTGTTGCAGGAATTGAAGTCTGCGGGTGTTCTGCATAAGAAAATATTAATGCCAGGTCGCATAATTCCGCCCGAGGACAAAGTGACCGAGTATGTATAAAGCATAAAGTATTAATTCATATCTTATTTGTTTATCTAGTTAGTGCTTTTATTGAAATATTTTTAAGCATGTTCTATATATATGAAGCAGTTCTATAAATTCAATATGAAGCCTAAATATTGTTTCAAACAAAATAATATATTATAATTAAGTTTTGTTAGCAAAAACAAAAAATAAGTTTAAGGTATTTTAAATGTTTTTTTTAAGATTTACAATATTAATATTGTCTATCAGACGACGGTTACTTGAGTGATATTCATGTCCAGACAACAACCGCCTCAGGGAAATCGCGACATTACGACAAAGTGCCGCGTAAATCAGAAAGGGCGCAGCTATCTATCAAAGCAATTCAACATCTTTTTGCATTGGCATGTTTTAATTTGAAGCGTCGTTTTGGCGCCATTCGTAGGTCATGTTATAAATCTCAGCGGTTGCGTGGGCGGTGGGCTTCGAGATCGTACCATAGTGCAACATACGTTGGATTCAATTGAACCCGGTCACATCGGGTTTAAGACATCCGCCCACATTCGGAATTTGAATGGTATTTGTTGCCGCTCAGGTGTCTCTACAGATGTCTCCACTGTAACAAGAACAAACATTTCATTATTGATGCTTTAACTTCGATTAAGTCAACACATGAATTATATCCGCCATTGTGTATGTAAATGAATTATGGCGAACACGAGAGAGATATCATTTCTTTTACTAAGAGCGTTAACTTAAGATTATCTCGGTCATTTGTCTACTCTTTTGTTATATGCGCCACGTAGGCTGACTTGCCATAAATAACGATCGGCATTTCTCAGATAGTTCGGTCCTGTTATCGCACTAGAGACGCTCGCATCTGTTTGTCAGCTAAGGATAGACAAATGCGCCCCCCGTATGGCTACCATGAAACGAATGTTTGGTGACAGCTACGTTTTGTTTATTAATGGTCCCATAATGCATATTATTTACGGTAATATCGCTGATATAAATCGTTAAGACAAAAAGTTTTGAACGATTTAAAATACCTGTCCAAATACTGGAATAATGTTTAATTTTTTGTGATTGGTTGTTGTATAATGGGACTGGTTTCTAGTTCTAACAGAAGGACTGCGATCATTTAGAAGCAAATAAAGGCATCACCGGACCTTCGCTGACCTTTCACTGTTCGAGACGAAATGATCAGACGCGCATCGGTAATGACGCTCGCGTGCCTTGCCAGCGCCTTCATTTATCACGGCCATATTTTTACTTGTTTTCCATGTCGACTGTCCACAATCGTGTCGTCATTACAAACCAGCCCGTGTACTTACAATCACCCCGACTATAAATTGTGACCACCGTTGAAGTAAGGATTGTCAGATTAATAGATTTTTATGGTTCGAGATGTAAAGGATTATACCGTGTCTTTCCGCCCCGTTATTTACATGTCACTAATGAATACTTATTACGTCGTTTTTTATCCAATTTACATACATTCGTGACATATAGACGTATATACATGTTGAATCTGTTAAAATCGATTACTTCAATGTTTGCTCATGACATTCCGTATCAAATGCATATGCTAAATCCGTTTTGAAAGTTTTTTCATCAATCGGCTTTGTTTGTGTTTCTATTAACGCGTGCTTGAGATATCTGTTATGAGACAATTTGAATATTAAGTCATTTTGTATTTTTGGTGGTTCTCTCAGTTTGTCTACGGAAAAACCGAAATTTGTTCGACTTTGAACAGGATTGCTGTGACTAAAAGTTCTACAACCTTCTAACGATGTTAGCTTTGCTAGTTCATTTACAATGCTTTTAGAAGTGTTTTTTTCTCTATTCGATACTTGTAAATGTTATTGTTCATTAACAATTGTTTTAATTCTTTGCAAATCTTTTTGACTTCTAAATTACTGTTAAGAATGAAACTTTGAATATTCAGAAAATGTCTAAGGATTTCGCCTACACCAAATAATCGTAACATTAATCGGGTAATTCAATTAAAGTTACATCGCGATGGCTTTGTTAATGTGAGTTTTAATTACATTTCCCGAATTTATCAGGTCTTTAAAGCGTTTGTGAGTCAGAAGTTGACATTAAATATTATCAGTACGAATTCAAATTAACTCGACTCTCTTCTATCGTTATGACCATTGCGTATAGAAACAAATTGTCGGCTCTCTATAATTTCTGTTATGTTATTTTGTGCCCATTACTTGGTTATAGCGTTTCATTCATAGTAATAACTGATCTAAATATCGTCAGTATTACAGTTTCTATTATATTGCTATATAATCATTGGACCACACAAGTAATAATTGAGCCATTGGGCGAATAAGTATTATAATGACCTTTTCTGTGTTGTTCTTAGTTTTGTATAGTCGATTAAATTATGAAATGTTTAATGTATCAGTTCATGAATTAGGGTTATTATTTTTGATTGAATTCTCAATTGCTTAATATGTGGGATGTTTATTAAGTATTGAATAGGTAAAGTATACTTTTGTTAAATGTTATTTAGACTTTGTTACCTTAAACACATATATATGTCGCAGCCAACTAGCTTAATTAGCCGTTCAATCAACAGCTTAGCCTCTTAACTTAACTAAAAAACCTAAAATTAAATAAAACTTAAACAACTTAAGTAAAATTATTGTAAAATATATCAATATTTTTATTAATGTTAGTAATTAAGTTGTAAGAGTAAGACACATGAAATTAGGAGCTTTCATTTTATTGCCATTTTGACAGATAATAAACATATTTAATTATTTATTTATAAGTCCTAAAACAACATGTAAATGTATGATTAAAATATACAAGAAAACGGGAAAGTTCAAACAGCAAAAAGTAACTAAAACAAAATGGAAACTTAAACCTCATTAAAAGCGTGATACAAACAACTACGGTCAGTAGGAAGATTGTTGTAAAATACTCGTATATCAATACTTTTATTAATGTTAGTAATAATTTGTTAGAGCGAGATAGCCACTGGACCATTAAAAGTAGCAGAGTGAGCCGTAGGTCCGTATAGAAAACTTTTAGTTCTAGTAACTCTAGGATTACAAAGAAAGGAAAATTATACAAATGCGAAATGCATGTTGGAGTATAAGGGTATACTCTGATATATGTATGGTTTGAGGCCTCAGTTTCCGCACTTAGACTCCCTATAGGTCGGTTGTGCGTAAAGTCCTGGTGAACTAAGCTAGCCTAGCTCCTTCCAAAAGCACAGAAGCCTAATGGGTACTTCAAAGGCTTCACGGAACAACCTCACTCTTCCGAGGATTTTTGCACCTTGTTTAGCCACAACCTCGCATTCCAGGACTACGTGGGTGATTTCTCTGCGCTGAAACAGCCTCAGCACATAGGACTGTCTGTCGCGCCAAAAACTGTATATGTATATTGCTCCTTGGTTATACTTTCTCGCATATACCAAAAACTTTCGCAAAAAATTAACACTTATTCATGCGCTTGAGTCAGAAGCCACAAACACCTTATGGGGATAACGTCCATTAATTTTGGTTTATGTGTCATTGGCGCCGAGTTTGATTGATACCGCTAATTAATTAATTCAACATGTTTATTATGTGATGAAACATTTGCGGTCAATTCAATGACTTAATGCATTAAAATATTTTAATGGGTCGTGGTTTTGAATGTTACTCACTAAATGTTTGAAATGATAATTACGAGTTTTGGGTTTCATTGCTTTATTTATTTATAAGTAATCTTACAGCTACACAAATATTATCAAATAAAACACTTAGACAATATACACAGCCTAAACAGATTACATTTTTTAATCAAAATATACGAAACAGAAAACATAAGTCAATTATGTACATTAATAGATGAAAAAAGAGAACTGAAATTAAATAAACGACAACTCAATTTTTAAAGAAAAACTAAATACTGCTTAATAAAGTCAAGTCGCTTACAAAAACATTTCCTCACATCCTCTTTGGTAACAAAATGTCACCATCTTCATCTAAAAAAGGCAATATTATAATCGTGTTATGGTAGAGATTTAAGTTAGATTCAGAGCCTTAAGTAAAGTGTAAAAGTAGAAAAATAATTATTTGACAAAAGCAACAAAAACCACCCTAGGAGTTCAGGCCTCTGATTCGAATTCTTCGCGAATATAAACCGGCTTGCTTTAAACCCAAAAAGTCCACGGCATATGTCAGATATCAGCTGATATGATCAGTCTCCTGTAGTCATGAAACAGATACAGAAATCTGAGGCCCAGACCTAAAAAGGTTGGAGTTCCACTGATTTAAAAAAAAATTACAATTTGTAACATATATAGTATATACCGTTGATAAAGCAATACAAATGATGTGGTGAACTTGAATAAATAAATAAATGATTAAAAGAGTGTGCGCTTTAATGCGCAATTGTATCTGGTGAACGTTAGATATAATGTCAACAACAATAAATGAAAACGAAGCCTTAATCAATGTTTGTTGCGGTTTTATGCGTTTTATTATCAATGTTATAGTAAGCGGCGTATTTTGTTTCCTATTATGGTATTATAGACAATTTATTCTCAGAAATTATTGTTATGATTTACGACATGTGACGAGATACTTCTGTGGCGATAAAAAAATCAAAATGAATAATAATCTAGCAGCGCTCTTTTATGGATCGAAATTTGTAATTTATTATCGCTGACTCTACGAACCAAAATGTGTCTTGGAGAAGCGTCCACTGCTTCCTATCCTCGGATCCTGCCAGCTGCTGGCTTTCAGATCCAGCAGGTCCTCCTGATACAATCGAATTTGCGCATATTAAGACTTTGGGGCAGATACGGTGTTCAAATACACAACCATGTAGTGAGGCTTATGTTTGGTAATAATAATAATAACCTTTAATTCAGATACTTTTACATTTAAACACATTGCATCTGATCTTAAAAGCAATTTATAGCTTTCCTTATTTTGGCCAATACCTAGTGATAAAAAGATAAAATTTTTACTTCGCCAGAAATATTTCCCTATTTAATTGACTAATTTGAAGTTACATTCAACGTACGTACTTAAAAAAGCCCAATGTTAGAACTTTATTTTCCTGTTGTAGAGACCCGAATCTTTTTATTTTCTTTGTCTATCAATTTTAGATCCGATTATTTGGTAGCCATTATCCTTATTTGTATGTATATGTATATTATTATTAAAATACACACAGATTATACATATGATAATACTTTTTCTAAATTAGTAGGAACTAAGTGTAAGAACAGTGTAAATACTGAATTTATTGGTAGATATATATAAAAATCACTTAAATAAACGCGTTTACGTTACACACATTCAAAATTGTTTATTTTTACTATGTACACAATATATGCCTTTCCGTAAGTTATGGTAATAAATATATAAACATTTTATTGTATATATTTGCGTTCTTCGTATGTATTTGTTTTATCTATTTCGTAATCCTACAGCTAACAAATAATATATTTGTAGACTAAATTCCTTAAAGAAGATGAAATACATAATATTTACAAAAAGGTTGAACATTTACAAAAGGGAAAAAACAATAAAAATATTCAATTTTACCTAAGTAAGGTGTGTATGTGGGGTATGCTCATGATACAGGTGATTTTGCGCTATGCATATTCCTAATACTCATTTCAACCATATTCCGCGATAGCTTAAAATCAAGGCTTAAATATTGGTCATTTTATGTCCGGGCTGCGCGATACACAACTGAGTTTTTTGTGTAGTTAGTGTTGATGTAAGGAACATGAAACAAAGCATTTTTAAAACCAAAATCGTATAAATTTGATGGCTGTTTTGTTACGCATAACTGTATTCGAATTGTAAAACTATAGCTTCAAATTATTAACAGCTAATAACAGTCGGTTGTTAGCTGCTCCCCGCCCCATACTTCGCACGCCATAAACATCACTTGGAAATACTAAATTACACACCATACAGAACATTAAAACGCCAATGCATTTTGAATCGTAAAAACTGTGATGATCCTTCGTGTTAATATCTTCATACAGACTTTTAATGATTATCTCTTTACACATTTGTGGAGGATGTCGCTTACACTTTTCACGTTTTAACCTTTGACTTTTGACAATTAGAATGCAGTAGATCGCATGGGAACCTATCCTTATCGCTGGTTGTATCGAAATGTCACCCATTATCTCAGTTCTCTTGTGTAGGATACGTGTACTTTCGTACTATGATTGATGTTGGAGTTTCTCTGGACCTCAGCTTGCTTTACATTGAACTAATTTAACTATTTTGTTACATTATCGTAAGATGATTGTTAATTAGTCACAATTTATTTATTTATTTAAAGTCCTTAAATATGTAAAACATAAACATAACACAAATATACATTAAAAAATAGTAACATAAACCTCATTAAAGCGTTATACAAAAAATAAATTTAGGCATGTAGAAAGATTGTTGTAAAATATACCAATACTTTCATTAATGTTACTAATTAAGTTGTAAGAGCGAGACATCAATGGAATTAGGAGCTTTCATGGGAAGTATTATTGCCATTTTGAAAGATAATAAACATATTTAAACAGCATGTATTCTTAAAATATATAAAAAATATTATAACAAAAATTTCAAACAGAAAAAAAACTAAAACAGTATAGAAACTTAAACCTCATCAAGAGCGTGATACACACGATTACGGTTAGTTGGAAGATTGTTGTAAAATTATCAATACTTTCATTAATGTTAGTAATTAAGTTGTAAAAGCGGGATAGCCTATTCACTGGAGCATTAAAAGTAGCTGATAAGCGAAGCCGTAGGTACGTATGTATAAAAGACTTTGCTATGTCAATGAAGTCACGTCGGAGTTTTAGGATATCTAACTCGAAATAGTCCGAACGAGCTTCGTACGTTCGCAATTAAGACTGGAATCTTGTTACGGTCGAATAAACAAGATCTTGTAAAAAATGTTGTTTGTTACACCTGTAGTGCTAAAGAAGAAATTGATAAGTAATAGTAGTGAATAAATTAGCAACACGATATCCGATAAGAATCAATAAGTCATGCTATGCAGGCTGAATCCGTACTGCGTCTGGCAAATCTTTAACAGTCGTAATAATTGCAGCGATGCCTGTACATAAATTTTCAAGTAACGCCACACACTGGCACGCCGGTGCCGCATGAAAAATATCCGGATTATAACTCGGGAGCGATCTAGGGAACAGATAACGCCGCTAGATATAAATTATCTTACAAACGTAAGTCCCAACTGATGTTAAATAAGAAACGTGTAATTCACTTTGCCCCATTCTGCCCAGCCGAGTAATAAAATACACAATTCTGACAGTTTTTTAAATAATGACGTCCGAGCTGACCAGGAAATGCTTAGAAAGTTTAATAAAAAGTTCAGTTAAACTCGTCCAATCTTCGAGTCGATCTAACAAGAACTTAATAATATCTGTACAATCCATACTTCATAACTCTTACGACTAAACTCGTTAAAAGTTGGAGGATCTTTTTCGATGAATTTCGTGACAAAAACTAATTCCTTTCGGTCATAAAATTCTCATTAATGGAAACCAATCTAATGTGTCTAAAGGTTAATAGTATCGCAATTAGGATAAAGCGGTATAATCTTAATATAAGGATCGAATAGGAAAGTATTTTTATTTCGGATTATCTTTCGTGACTAAATTCCTTAAAGAAATCAATAAAACAGATTGTAATTAATACTCTTCAGAGTTGTTTATATCTATATGTATATTACTCCACAGTTTATACATATGTTAATATATTTTCTCACTTACTTTTACTTACTTAAGTTATTGGTAGATATATATTATATATAAATCTCTTTAATAATCGTGTCTACGTTACACTTATTCAAAATTGTTTATTTTAACTATTTATACAATGTAAGCCTTTCCGTAAGTTATGGTAATAAATATATAAACATTTTATTGTATATCTTTGCGTTCTTCGTATGTATTTGTTTTATTTATTTATTTCGTATTACTGCAGCTAACAAAATATATATATATATATGTAGACTAAATTCCTTAAAGAAATAAAACACATATTGTAATTAATACTCAACAGAGGTCGGTCATCGACATCCGTCGTTTAAAACTAAGTAAATTATCAGTTCTAAAACCTTGTAGATATTTTGTGAATAAATCGAAACGTGACTTTACGCGTAATTAAATTGTTTACTCTTTTGCGCCACACGTAGTTTCATAATTTTGTCTTATTGGATGAAGATTGAATTCTTAGGAATTGTTTGGTGATGACGTGTTTTATTATACCAAATATTCACATAATTTACGTACAGTATTTTCCCCTTCAACATAATTGCTTTTAATTAACGTTTCTTGCAAAAAAGAGCTTTACAACTTGCTAAAAGCTTCGTCTTTGTGCAATCGTTTGAATTCAAAATGTGATTCTACTAAAGAGTATTTGATTCGTGTAAATGAGTTTCAAGAGGGTTTGCGATTTCTACATCACAATATACAATCAGTTTATCAAGTTATGCTAAATTTTCTAAATGACAGTGTGGTCGTCTCCCCTAACTAAATTCTCTTGTCATCGGCGCCACGGTTCGGCAAATATGAAACGTTGAAAACAAACATATATCATAAATGCACCTGAAACAATCGTTTTTGGGACGCCCACTGTTCGTGCGGTTTTAGGTGTAAAAAATCGATTATATTATGGCGACACGCTGAGATCTATACATAATAATTCATTCCGAGACGGGACACCGTGGCTCCTAGCATTTTTGTAAATTAAATAAAATACACCGAAATGACGTTGTTACGTATCATTTTACATTCGTTTTATTCGTGTTTCACTGTATGAATTATGTGTCGGAATGCTATTATAACAGCTAAGTTCTTTGTTGATTATGCTTATCTAAATACGCTTCGTGTTTCGCGATGTGTGTATGGCATTCCGACAGGTGTAAGTAAACTGTCCTTGGTAACATGGTGAAAACATTTGGTTTCTTTCCAGATTCATGGACACTGTGGACGAGTTTCTGGAAAAGGATGACGGTGAGAAATTATATTTGTACAGTTCTTTAGCTAATATTACTTGCTACGGACGAACCTTCTGTATTTATATTTGGTTCTTTGTTTTGTGTTGTTTATTATGCGAGTGTATGAATGTAAATTCTTTAAGTCAATTTTATTAACGCTCGCTCACACAGAACCTTTAACCTTCCGACTCCCAGAACCAACATCGGGTTCCGCGAGCCTCTTCACAGGATGTGTTCTGCTTTAGATTCTGTCAATAACATCGACTCTTTTTCGCACTCCTCTACTGCTTCATTTAAAAATAATTTAAAACAACTATTAATGTCCTAATCCTTGTATCTTTCATCTTTATTATAGCTTCTAGTATGTTTGTCGTTCTCCGGATTTATACATTTTCTGCTGTCATGTTATGTTTTGCTTTGCTCTGTATTATATTTTTTGTTAGTGAAACTTTTTGTGGATACATCCAATGTGTTTATTTTATGATTAATTTAAACAGGTTGAGTACACTCGCGTGGTCATACGCTGTTTCTATAATGAACTCGAAGTAGGTTTTGTAAACTTTGATGTAGGCTCGATTCGTGCGTGGGAAGTCATAGCAAGGTGTTAATGCATGCCCATTGCCTAATTGTATTACAAGACCACCATAAAGAGTGTCATTACTCCGCTCTTTTATGTCACTAATCGTTATTCTATTGTCGGCGCCCAAATAGAAACTTTCAAAGATTTACGGAACTATTTGACTATCTGATTTGCGTGTTCGAGTGAACCGCCCAAGCATTTCTTTACAAAGATCAGTTCAATTAAAGCCTGTTCCAAATTAAATGAGATGCAACGTTAAATACGTAATGAGTCGCTGTGGTCACACCTCTATTCATAGGCGACGTAAGGCGTACGAGGGGTCCACAACGATTGGTTTATTAAAAAGTTATAGCAATCAAAACTAGTAGATTCGGTGCGCACGTCTGACTTTATCGGCAGCTACATATTTAATTAAAGTGACACAAATCGTGGTTATCGACAAACTTCTCACGGTCCCGAACTTAATTCTCTATGTTCATTAGGTTCTAATTATAGACAGTTGTTTGTCGTGATGGCCAAAACTAGCTTTTATTAGATTACGTGGGTAGTATCAATTAATTGTAGCTGTCGGCGTCTTCATTGGTGACTGGTTGTCGGTGTCGCTAAGTAGATTGATATTTGTATGTATGTAATTAATGTGAGGTGTTTACGTCTTGAAATATATTTGCAAGCATAGGCTGGTATCATTGTGGATTGGCAGAACAGAATAATATAAATTAAAATAAATCGCAAAATATGTTGCTAAGCGCAATCCTCACAGACATCAGCTCGGCAACGCACTCGCGAATCCTCTGGCATTGAAAGTGTCCATGGGTTTGACTTAACATCACGTGAGCCTTCTGCTATTTGCCTTGCTTCTTCTAGTTCTATAAAAGACATATTAATAAAACAGATGCACAATTTACAGGTCAATGTAGGGTTGTAGTGCTACTGCATTATTCCTCGTCCCGTTTGCCCCACCTTTTATTTAAAAAAAGAACAGCAGGACCGATTGGAGGAGTTTTTTTGACATTCCTTAAACTCTAGAGGTTTATATGGAGAGAAAAATTGGACCAAAAAACTAAATTTTCTGTTATTTCACAAATTAAATAATAAGACAAAAGTCGTAAAGGACTTTAGGCATTAGCGAACTTAAACACGCAAAATAATTGCCGTCAGTGTATAATTGTGGGTGGGCTTTCATATTCCAAATTTAAAATTTGAACTTTCGAATACCTTATATCATGTTACCGAATTCTCGTAATGCGAATGTAATAAAATAAATGAATTATTTAAGTTCTAAAAATATTTGACGCCGCCGGCGCAAGTTGTCACGCATTGCATTGATAAATGATCTATGATACCGTTATGGACAGATGACTTGCTACTTAATGCTGTGAATAATAAATCAATATTATTAAGAATTTAGTTGAAAAAAAATTGCCTAGTAGGTAAGAATGAGGTTTTTTTTAAATTATTGTAAATCTGTCTAACTCAAAATGTGTCGTATTTTTACAACAACCTCCTTCGTTATGAAGTCGGTTAGTATCGAGTTAAAAAAAACCTTTTAAATTTAGTTGTAAATATAATAGATTTTTTTTTAAATTTTTGTACCTTTGTACTAGTAAAATTATTTGTTTAAAAATCCTTATAAAAATTATAAGTTTTAAAATAATGGTTTAAGTTGAGGTAAAATTTTTTAGCTTTCAAAGTAATTGTATGTATTAAAACTTTCGATTACACAAAAGTATGTAGATCGTAAAAATACGAAGCGATAAAACTTGTATTGCAACGGTTATCTATCTAAATACCTAATCAGTCACCATCTAAACCGCCCACGCGTGGCGCCAAGTGGAGTGAAGCAACTGGGCTCTCATTCTCTAACACGCTATATTTATATCACACTGTGATAAATACGATTTCAAAAAAGTTAAGGAAATGGGCCGGTCACATTGCCCGCGTTTGTGATGACAGATGCCTCAAAAAGACCCAGTGGAATGGTCCAGTGGGATGGAAAATGAGAGGTCCCTGGAATAATGGGATATGAGGGACAGTGTGGAGGGATTGGACGTGAGTATGAGAGACAAGTGGTTTGGAGGAGGCCTTCCCTACGTCGGAAGTCGTGTACTGATGTTAAACATAATGACATGGACTTAATGTAATCCTGATTATGTAGTCCTTTTTTGTAGTTACGGCTCATACTTTAAGGTTAAACTACAGTTGATACTAAGCGCAAAGTATGACTTCCGTATGTAAAATCTGATAGGTATTTGACTTATGTCAAGACAAAAATAGTGTAGTGTGTAGCACAGAAGAGTATTTTGATTGCTTAAGACAAACAGTCGAATACGATATGATATCAAGATTAAGGGTTCTAACGCCACTTCTCAAGGTCATTTGCTTGACATATCTGGTCGCTGTGTAATAATTATAACATTTTATTTAAACTACTAAACAGGAGAAAACATAAAACAAAAGGACAATAAATGGGCGGTCTTACTGCTAAAAGCATCTTCCAGACAAACCAGACGTAAAAAATAAAATGGAAGTCTTATGGCATTACGAGAATAAACCCCAAGTTTCTCTAAATTATTTTCAAATTAATCGATAATAGCTCGCATTAATTAACTAAACTCGGTTTTTATTAGTAATTCGATTTTTTATATGTTTGCGATTAATCAACGCTTTCATTTACATAATTAAATTTTAATGTAATTAATCTGTTTAAGTCAATTTAGATAACAAAGGTTCACTTAAGCGTAACCAATGTAAACTAACTCAGCGAGGCTACCACGAAACTTCTAGTAGCGATACTTCGACACTACTAGAAGTTTCGTATAAGCAGCGTTGGCCTAGTGGCTTCAGCGTGCGACTCTCTTACCTGAGGTCGTAGGTTCAATCCCCGACTGTGCACCAATGGACTTTCTTTCTATGTGCGAATTTAACATTTGCTCGAACGGTGAAGGAAAACGTGAGGAAACCGACATGTCTTAGACCCAAAAAGTCGACGGCGTGTGTCCGGCACAGGAGGCCATTATACCTTTTCGGTTGACAAAGGATCATTAAACAGATAGAGAAATCTGAGGCCTAGACCTAAAAAGGTTGTAGCGCCACTGATTTATTTACGAGTCCTATATAAAGACCTCCTCCAAAGATATTGTAAGTTTTTATTACATTCTATGAACTCAATTAACGCTTCAATTAAATCAAACAAATGATAATTGCCGGCACGACAAAGCGATTAAGTCGTTAACAAAATGCTTGGCAAGAAACTTTGACATTAATACTTTCGGCAGATCTTAATTGTCAATGATAATTCATGTTCACGATAATCTGTGCGTGTCTTCATGTTGGCTAATATGTATAAAATAGGCTCTTGTCTATTTTATTATTCACTTACGACTCGAAAAGCGAAGTTTAATTAGGACGAAATCTTATACGTATAATGATTAATGGGTAGAAGCCGCGCACAAATTATTTAAAGAAGTCTATTGAGTATGAGGGTGTGCAATTATTTAATCAGTTACCCTCTGAAATTCGTGTTTAATCAATTCAAAAGTGCATTAAAGATACATATTACAATGAGCCTAATAGACTAAAATTGGGATAGCTGATGGCGACGCGTATTTCGTTCGTATTATATAAAGTTTCTTATGTAAATAAAAATACATTTTTTGTTATGAGAAATAAAGTTCTTTACACATTATTTACTTAATTATATGACCTAACCTTTGGAACACGTTTGTTTATGTCACTGATGATGGACTACTATGGTTAAAATAATAATAACTCGCGAGCCCTCTGGCAATGAGTGTCCATTGGCGGCGGTATCACTTAATATCAGGCCTCTTGCCCGTTTGGCGGATGTTCTATAAAAAACATCCACATTAATTCCAATATAAAATAAAACATACATATCAAATGAGTGCTGTTTTTGTTATTATACTCCTAGTCTAAGTTAGTTATTGTTTTTTCCATTAGTTCATGTTCTGCAGGACTTCTTTTGGGTAAAAGCTTCCTCCTGAATTTTCCATTTGGATCCGTTTTTAGCTCCTTCAATTAATTTCTTCTCAGAAACCTTAGTGTGTCGTCAGCCTATTGCTTTTGTCTTCCTACGTTTTTTTCCTGGAATTTTCCTTAAATTTTTATTTTTGTGTTTATCCTTCTTAATACTATTGTAGCGCTTCAACCCTAGGTCTTCTTAGCCATTAAAAACGCAATATTTATGTTATATAATATATAATCCGGACTTTGACCGAGAGATTTTTACGCCGGCTTTTTCTCTCGGCCTACACCCTCTGTCTTCTTTGCCGATGAGCAGGATGCCTACAAATTAAAATTTAATGACGTGGAATAAGTGGCACATGTATCTTATGTTCCATAATAAACATATTTAATTTTTTATTTTTTGAATCTTGACCATACTCGCAAGTAAATCTTGCTAAGTCTCCTATGGCTCATAGCATTAAGGTTTAAAGACATTTATTCTCATAACAGACAATAGTCATTTACTTGAGGACTTCTACACTAAAGATACAATTTATCACGTCGTTGGTCATTGTAGAGCTTCAAGGATGAATTAGCGAAGTAGAATTTGGGTGAACTTTCATTTACGTAGATAACTGGGATCACTCAAGATATGATCTTTTAGTCTTAATTTAAATATTGCCAGGCTGTCTGCACTTTTATATTTTGCAGAAATCTATTATACATTTTGGGTCTAAGACGTGCTTTCCTCACTTTGTTGCCGAGGATCGCACGCTTGGCTACTAGGGAACATGACAAAAACATATTGTTACGATAAAATTTATATTTTATTTTACACAATACTTGAATTTGACTCCAACGTCTTTCGAGACATCAAAGGTCTTCCCGAGGAAGTATCAAACCGCGGGCCCCGGGTTCCGTTCGCCACCCTAAGCATGACTTGTGGTAGGGGTAAGGGGTGCGAGTCAACGACCCCGAGATGCAGTTTCAAGTAAACAACGTGACTTTTGTGATTTATTGTATATTTGGGAAAAACAACAGTTGTATGTACCTTCTAGAATATTCCATAAGTTTTAATAAGAACAGCGGGAAATGTTTTTCAAAACCAAACACTACAAAAATCTACATTAAAAAATTACTCATTTTTATTTGTTGCATTTATTGATTAAAACTCGTATTTTCTTGCAATTTAAAGTAAATTGTTAGTATGTACATAAGCCTTTATTGTTGTAATTACTTATACTAGTACAATAGAAATGTGCAGTTCTAAAAAATTAACACTAATAATTAATCGGCAAGTCGGTTAAATTCTGTTATACAGCTTGTCCTTGGACATAGGCCTCCTCTAAGAGCTTCCACTTTCTCAGTTAGTAATTATATACAATTTAACATAAATCAATATTTTTTTAAACAAGTGTAAAAAACCGATCATCTCACCATTCGTTTGATAATTATAATATTTATTTATTTTATACATAATCTTAAATAGAAAATAAGTTGGTGTGGTGGAAACACAAACTGGACACAATTAAATACATAAAAGCTTTTTTATATCATTTATTTTTTAGCAAAGGGCTCCTACTGACATTTCTATCTGCACTGTGTCCACTCTCTGCCATGTACCTGCTGGTTTATTATCCTGGTCTATACATATTCTAAGTTATCTTCCTAATTTGCGAATTCTTGCTCCACTTTTCTGTTGCTCTTGTCATGTGCAAGTTTTTTAAATACTGTAAGTTGTTTGTAAATACGGAATTTAAATGCGAGAAGACATTTAATATGCAACAAACTTATCTCTATTCTTACGATTATTATTTGAATTTATCAATAAACGCGTATTCATATAGTATTCGTCTATAAGCCTAGCATAGGTTTACATTGAAAATTTCACTGCTGCAATAATTTTAATTCACACACACACAGGTTAATACTGTCTTAAAGTAACGTGAACGCTAAGTAAATGTTTTTCTCTTACAGTATCGTTAGTCGGAGTCCATTGCACGCATGGTTTGAATCGCACAGGCTATATGGTGTGCAGATACCTTCGGGATCGACTCCGGGTACCGGCATCTCTTGCTATTGAGAGTAAGTACTATACGTTATAGCCACGATAACAAATTAATAATAAAAGTTAGCTAGAAGATGTGATGATTTGTTTGACTTGACTACAAAAATAAAAAGCATTTAAGGCTGCAAACTTACATGCTTAATATTAAGTAAATGTGGCTAAAGTAATATAATACCTCCTTTCGTAGTTATCTATTTATTTACAGCTTGTCCTTCGACAAAAGCCTAAATTTATACAATCTTGACATTCTCTAGTGGGTCGAATCCACGTTGGACCTGCTACCTTTTTTGTATCGTCCTCCCATCTTCTTATCAGCCGTTACGATTCTTTTCCATTTTTGCTTCTATTCTCTCATATTATCCGTCCATCTCAACTTTAGTTTTCAGTATATGGTGTATGCGTCATTAAATTTGAATATATAATTTTTTTATATATAATTATAGAAAAAATGCATCCCAAGATAGCCATAAAAATTGTTATACGATATGTTGTGGCGTGTTAAAATTTTAAAATGTACAGTAAAGTATAATGTTTTCACAGAATTCGAAAAGGCACGTGGTTATAAAATAGAAAGAGAGAATTACATCGCAGATCTTCTTGGCAAAACGCCGCCCCCACCCGATGTAGGGCCAAAAACTGACATAAAACCATTGGTTAATGAAAAACCATGGAGGCCATACAGAGATCATACAATTGAAGAGATTAAACCTAAGAGGGATATAAGAAAACGTCACATTTCTAGTGAAAGAGATAGTGAGAGGAAAATCACAGATAGATCGAGAGAAGATAGAAGACAAATTACATATAGATCACCTCTTGCATATGAAGAAGAAGCGGATGGTCACATCATGCGGTACGGGAAACGGAGACCAGATGGAAGCAAAAACAGACATAAGAGGAAGAGAAAAAGCAGTAGTGATGATTTTGATTTCAGATATGACTATTAGTACTCTTTGTTCGATAATGACGTAATAAGGACGAGAAGAAAAATTTAATGGTAAATATACTTAAATGTTGGGCAGGATATTCAAACTCCGACACTACGTACACGACGGACAGTTTAAAAAAAATATGTTCTCAAAACTTTAATTAAAAATGTTAAAAAAGGTTTATTGATCAACTCAAAATGGTTGTGTAGAACACAAAATGGTTTATCTAAGGCAGTGTTTCCTAACCTATTTGTGCCATGCCTAGTATATATAATAGTACTTTTCTAAGATTCTTATGCCCCAAACACATAATTTTTAATATAAAAAAAATTGAATTGTTCACTTACGAAAGTTAAATGATAGGTTTTATGAAGAAATTCTAGGAAATTGTTAACGAAATACAGTAAGCACATTTTTAAAACAAATTATGTAAAACCAAAATTCAAATCCCAAATAATTTTAATGAACTTTGGATTAGCCCCCTTAACGATCAAATTTCCCCCATGTGGGGTGTGGTCCCGACGTTGGGAAACACTGATCTAAGGTGTCATTCTCGTAGACCTAGAATCACTTTGGGTCGGTACGCAAGAGTTAGTTTATAGTACTATCTAAAGTGGGCTGACATACTGTGGATTCGGAGGTACGTAGTCGCCGATTTTATTTCATTGGATATGTTAGTTAGGTTAGCTAATATAACACTATTAGTAATTAGATAAGAAGGTGTTAAGGTGTTGCGTCAAATTAAATTCGTATTTCTTTCTCGTTGAAATACACTAAAAAGTGACTTTGAATATCCTGCCCTTTACGTGAATATCAGTACTAGTAATAATAATTTAAATGTCTCATTTGGACCACATTTATTAGCTTTATTTCGCGGTTTTAAGCGAAACAATTGTTTGAAGGATTGCTTATATTTATAAAAAAGGCATATGATACATGATGTATATATTTTTTATACATTTGTAACTTTAATAAATCGATTTAATTTATTTATTTCGTTTAATTTCTTTTCACTCTACGTTTTATCTTAGTTGCTTATTTGTTTTAGACTTTATTGTGCTTAAAGTTGTATTCATTCGTATAACAGCTAACGCATAATAGCAGCTTTCGATAAGAATAATTTATAGATTTCCTTCTGGTATTAAAATATAAATGATATGCTACCACATTTTATTTAACCATATCCTTGTGTTATAAAGCTTCCCCCTTATGAATGTGATGAAATCAAAAACTATGGAACTAGAAGCTAGCTAGATTTCTAAGAAAGGTTTAGGCTTATTCATTAAGGTTTTTACGTAATTTATTGAAATACAATTGAGGTGTGAGACGTCGCAAAAATCTTGTCAAAATTGTATTTTGGAGAAGTTGCGGTCTGAAGCTGGAGAAAAGTAAAAGGAAATAAAAGAAGTAAGTATTTTGTATTTTTGTTAAACATAATAACTTCTAGATATGCTGGAAGAGGCCTTAGCCTAATATGGGGTACTTGTCAAGAATAACATTAAAACTAAAAATATAATTTATTAAATGTTAATTGAAATAGGATAACATAAATTATTATTAGATTAAAATTATATCTGACTAGCTGTTCCCTGCCACGCTTCGCTGTGGCACATTGTGATTGAATGTTTGAGAAATGAGAAACAAAGAAAACATTTAATATTAGTGTTATTACATACTTATGGAAAAATAATGAAAAAATGAAAAAATAAAAAAAATGATAAGGAAATAGATAAAAACAATCCTTGATGCGACATATTCATTATCATGGTAAAATTTCAGTTCGATCGGTGGAGAACTTTTTCAGTTTTTGAAGTGTACAAAAACCAACCTAACATTTTATATATAGATGTGAAAATCTAGAAACTATTTTACTTTTATTTATTTTTCAAGGCAGTTCAATCATTTTTCTGAATGTATTTCGTGTTAAAATTACAGTAGCAACCAGAAAAATTGAGTCATGAGAACAGGTCTAATTATGTTAGAATTGGTGGGATCACGTATTGTGATGTGGATAGCTTGCACGTGATTGATACAATCGAGATGTAAAGATTGTGGATGGAGCCTGACTAAGAGGCGCTTATTATGTACCACAGGTGCAAGACTAGATATTCTTTTGCTAAGGGTGTTTATCATGTTTATTTGTTCTGGAGTTCTGCTTATTTAGAAGTAAATGATTACTGGTGTATCTGGACTACTTCTAACCCTTATCCTTTCCTATGCCCTACATAGGAAGGATCATATTTCTACGTCTGTTCCATCAATTTTAAAGGTCGATCGACCTTTTTACATGCTAATACGACATCTTTGACGCACAGGAAATCCAATCCAGAATGTTTCGATTACGCCATATTAACTACTAAGTTACGTTTATAAGGAAGCAGGAATTTCTTATACGAAGTCTGAAGGTGAACTGAATTTCTTCTATTCTATGAAGGAATAATCAACGATTTATTTACAAAATTCAATGGGCTAAATTACGCAGAAGTATATTTTAATGTAGCTTTTGACAAGATCTTAAGGGCTTAGTTAATAGTCAGTTATGAAAATGAGCACAGCCGATTTTCACCAAGTGCACTGATGCTCTTAAGATTGTGGTTACGAAATGTGGCGTGGAGGAATTTTTGAGACCCTTTCCATAATTGGCTAACTATAACAATAGCAATAGCGTTTTTTTCCAAAACTTAATAATGAACTTACAACATAAAATAAAATAGAATAACTTTTAATGTTTTTTCACGGTTCAATTCCAATTAACACACTCTACTTTTGTCTTCATCTTCGCCAACTATAGGGAAAATTAAAAAATATTTACATGCAATAGGTATAGATAACAATCTACAGAAATCTTTTTAAAATGAATACAGAATAACACTAATATACAATAACAATAACAGAACCATGAATCGCATGAGAATTTGCTACAAGTTTGCAGGTTTCAGAAATAAATCAAAGCGAAGATGCGACCGATATGAACGTAGCTCAGCGTGTCCCACTTCCACGGAACGTATTTTATGTTCTACTGACTTATGTCAGAGCTGTTTACTTTGTAACGCTTCGAACTGCTCAATATATCAGTGAGCACTTCCACTGGTATGTTACACACATATTTGATTTATATGTTGTCGATGGTAGCTTTCCCAAGTCAAGGCTAGTCGCTTTTATTGCTCTATTGTTCAGCTTCTATGTGAGATTATACACCAAGCATTACAATTCAACAACTGTGTATTGTGTATTGGTTTCTAGTGTTCGTCTTGTAATAAATTGCAATATACTCGCGTGTGGTACGACTCCAGCGAGTAATTTAACTTAGGAAAGTTTGCGTTAAACAATGACGTATTTATTGTCTTTTGTCTTTGTTGAACGAAGTCTTACTTTAAGAGTATTTACAGGACTATTGGTACTGCATTAAATAGTTTCGGTAATGGGATACCTGTAAAGACAAATTAGTGGGTCGTAACGGATCTGTTAACCAATTAATAGTTTATTTTTGTTTGTTAATATTCCCTACATCATATACATATCTACAGTGTATGTTACACGGTATCGTATCTAAATAAATCAAGTATGGTAAAAATAAATGTTACAAAAAATAAAAAATATTACATTTCCATTTTAGATTTTACTAGTAATAAAATTGCGTATATCTGAAAGTCATTTAACAATGCTTTTTTTAATTGATACACTACCGTATGTGACAAACAATAAAATAGCGAAAACTATATTTATTTCTACAGATGATAAGATAAACAGGGTATTCCAATTTGCTATATATCACTTACTTTCCGTAAGCGATAGTTCCTTAAAAACAAACGCAAATCGCATACAAAAGTGTATTGTTCGCATTAACAATTCCATTGTACATATTGTTTGTCCTTAGGACACACCATCAATAGCATTTACCGACAAGAACATAAAATCAGTTATGTGACGTTAATAAAATGAAACATCTTAACTTAGGTTATCTTTTTTTACCTGCCGATGGATCCTTGACGGACGTGCATTTAATTTATGTCTATTAGTTGAGGCTTTATTTTAATGTGCTCGTTTGGTAAGGTGACGTTTTGGGCGCCTGATTTTTATCAATCGTGAGGACAAGCCGATTCTGTTAACAGGAATTCTACTAAGTTGTTGCTAAAAAAGTAGGCAGGTGAAAAAAACTTGTGCTTTTTATTAAAACGTCCGAAATACTAATAAAAAATGTATTAATTTAAATAAATTGCAAATCTCCGTAAGAGCTGTCTAGAAGAAACTGAAAAAATTTCAACATAGGCAAGGAGTCTGTTGAAGTTTCATTGTAAAGTATCAAAAGATGCTGCAAGCCGAACTGGTGACAAATGAATGTTTGGCTAAATAAGTTCTTTTGCTGAAAGCTAGTAAAAGGTTACAATTATAAAAAAACTTGTCTACTTTTTACTTGTCATCTTTTGTATGCAGTGGCGGATTATTATATAGATAGAATCCTGCAACAAATTTTGCCGATGACCTTCCCCTCTCACTTGTCATTCTATATTCGGTGTAGCAAACTTCTATATTCTAGAATAAAATAGCTAGTTCGCCGCTCCCCAACCAGTAATCGACCTCTGCGCCCTCAGCTTACACTTTGTATGATTTCCCTCTTTCCTCTTCCCCCTATTAACCCATACATGTCAGTCCTATTACTGGTTGGAGGCTGCGAACTGTTTGGTTTGTGTATAAATCCAAAAATTGTTGGATTGTAAAAATAATCTAGGACACGACAGGCAGAGGCAAGGGCGGCAAAAACATCACAGTCTATACCTTGAAAATCCGCCTCTTAGTTACGAAATTTAGTAACTGCTTTATTAACGAATAATTAATAGTTGAAGGACTCTTTAGCTTTCGTTTGGAACTATGAACTTGTTTAAATCTTTACTAAAGCTCTCATCAATCATAGAAATCTCTCCATAACCGCTAGCCTGTGTAATAATTGAAAAAGTAAATTATGATAAGACATTTAAACAATGCGCCAATAAATATACTTGTTTGCTTTTTTATACTGG